TAAGACAAACAATGTCAACTCAACGTCAAACGTTCACAGGTGGAATATATAAATATTCATGCACTTTCCACTATGTTTCCATATTATTTACTTTATCAATTATTAAAGAACTATAGAGAAAAAAAGCATTCAGTCAGCAGGAGCTGGAATATTTGTGCCTGTCTTTGAGCAGAAAAAAGTGCAAAGCCAATGAGGAGATATGAACCTAAACACATCATAATTAATATTTGTAAGATTTCATGAAAATAAATAAAGTAAAACTTCTATTTTACAGATGGCCAGCATTCAAGTCCAGGCATCTCTTTGGACAAGCACAAGCATCACCTCCCATTTAACTAAGACTGTACCATTCAAATAAAATAAGCAGCATTACTGTAAATGACACTCTGATGATTTGCCTCCACTTCCCTCCACTAAAATCAATAACTCACGACTACATATTTTAGGATCAAGTAATTAGCTGTATATATGGAGTCGGCATAGCAGTTCAAAGCAGTTAAGAAATTACAAGTAAAGCCGAAATAGAAACAATACCAAAATAAACTTTTACCAAACATGGCTATAACATAATGTAATGATATTTTCTGTTAATGTTATAATAAAAGTCAAAACTTACCAGATTAATTCCTGTGGTCATGGGGTAAAGGGGCCATTTCTCATGCTGTGAGGCCAACTCAGTATATCAGGTGATGCAAATATTGGGCACTCTTCCTGCAACAGGGTAAAAACAGAATTTTGGTCCACATGTATAACAGTGACACCAACTCCCCTCTGGACTCTGTACACTTTCAGGTAGCTGCATAACATTGACGTGCCATGCTTCAAAAGCACTGCCTAGGGCAAACAATGTCAACTCAATGTCAGATGTTCACGTGGAATATCATAAATATTCATGCATTTTTAACTCTGTTTCCATATTATTCACTTCACATTTTTACCATTTGTTACAGGACTAATGAGAGAAAGAACTTTCAGTTGGAACAAACTGGAATATTTCCACCTATCTCTGAACAGAAAAAGTGCAATATCAAAGAGAAGATAAAAGAAAAATCTGAACCAAAACGCATGATTATAATAAATATTTCCAGGGGTTGTAAACTATTACTTAATAGCCTCTAACGTTATATTAGGAGTTAAAGTTATAATTTGTAAATTTTACTGCAGTCTTGTGGAAATAAGTTAGTTGTTCCACTTGTCTAACTTTTTTCCACAGTACATTTGATTAATATAGGACATATTTCAAAATCAACAACTTCAACTTTCATTTCACATGTTTTTTGTCACGTTGAGTAACTAATATTCGTTCGTGTTATGATAAGTTACCCCTGAATATTTGTAAGATTTCATGAAAATAAATAAAGTAAAACTTAGCAAAATTGTTAGCCCTCATCTCTTCCAGTCCCGCTTCATGATGTCCTATATATCTCTCTCTATCGCGATCAATAAGCAGCGATAAACACAAATGAAAGTGTGCTGATGCGAAGTCGGTAAAAACATTTCCGATACCGGGAATCGAACCCGAGCCTCCTGGGTGAGAGCCAGGTATCCTAGCCACTAGACCATATCGGACAGATACAACCTGCAGCGCCTGGCGCGGATGTGATTCGACAAGACGCACAGGCGCGATCAGCACGACATCCATCGGGAGAAGATAGAACCACGCTCAAGCCGTAGTCCCGCTGCTCCCTCACAGAGCGCGTCACCTGATATCAACAAACAACTCCATTAATCGAGGAGATGATCATAATGTGTAATTTCTGCGTTCTGGAGTGCGCGGATCCGTAGCCGGTCCATGGGGAAGCTTGCTTGAATTTCTGGCCCTGAAATCGTTAAGAGAACGTGTAGTATACTAAGTTCTGACGGCGCCTGCTCGTTTCAGGGATGCAAAATGAAAGGCAAAAGTAAGGCTTTGCAAGGATGTCACGCCACGTTAATCGAAAGAAACGTTTTACAATTTGATTTTGTGCTAGAGCTTGTGAATAATGGAAACGTTGTTGTTGTCTTTCTGCCTTCTAGAACGACTTGAACGTGCGCCACATATAGGTTAGGTTCTACTTGGAAACCTGCACAGATTCATTGCTGGATATAGTCTCGTGAGGCGAGACCCGTAATTCTGTCCTCACCTCAGCTGAGGCACGGGCCTCAAAGATTTTGAAGAGTTTGATTGGCTATCCAAGCTTGGCAAGCCAATTTCGATTTGTTTCAATAGAGGATTACTATTGCCAGCGCATGTCATATATCTTTTGAAAAATGAGGAGGTATGGAAGCTAAGATTAAGTTTCGATTTTGCGTTTTAAATAATGGTTTATAAAATTTACCTTATTCTCCTAGGTTGCCTTGTTGCACCCCACAAGCCAGCTGTAAAGTGTGGTACGTCTGAAATGAGTCACAGCAAATTTAGTATCTCTTCTTAATATTTTGGTACTGCATGCAACTCACAAATATTTCTTACCTGCCGAATATGTCATTACGTGCTGTGACGTCATCACAGCAACTGTATGAATGTAACTTGTAGTTTAACTTCTAGTACAATGAATTGTGCTTCCATGTATCTCTCTCTTCCAACATGTCTGTGCTGTAAACCCTGATATAGATTCTGAACTGTGGCTTTAAAGAACTAAAATACTGTGCTTTAGTTTTAATTTTGACCAGTTAACATGAGTTTAGAATATAACTAGAACAAACTTGTGGGAAATAAAGAAGTATTTGTGGAAAAAAAGAAGTTCTCATTTAATTTAATCATCTCTGTGGAATAGTAAATAATAAAAAAAAAAAAAACATCTTAACAATTCCACAATGATTTTTTGAGAGTACAAATCATACAATTAGAGGAAAATTTAACCTTGACTGGAAAAATGATTAATTATTTGATCTTGAAAAACTTTTGCTATTGAGCATTTTAACACCATGTTGTCATCTGGGTAATGATTGATTCAGAGGCCCTACGTACAAACATGTTTTTCAAAGATAGATTCTTGTCTCCTTTAGAATAGAGTCACTTTGCTTTCCATAAGATACAATACAAATGTGAATCACTACTATGGCTTGCAACTGCACACTATACTCTCTATTGTTACCTTTATTTTTTGGTGTTGTTCAAGCTCCTTAGCAAGAACTTTCACACATAATTTTGATCCCTCATCACAGTAACACTCAAAAAGAGAGAGCTTTTCCAAATTAGATAAAACATTGTTTGAAGCTCCATTTGCCACGGCTGAAACACACTGGGCACTCATTTCGTGAAAATAAAGAGTCTTCAAAGATGGAGTATTTTCCAACACATCCAGCAGTTCCTCAGATTTTATGTCACAAGACACCAGATTTAAGAGAGAAATTTTGGGGCGCCCCTTGACTAAAGCCATTAGTAATGGGGCATATAAAGACCCACCACCAATTATCTTGACAGTCTTCAATAGAGGAAACACATTGTTCTGGGCTAAAACAGGGAGCACATTGGAAACCTCCGAGGAAGTTTCGTCAACACAATCAACTATAATGCTATCCAACCTTTCACATTTTTCAAGGAGTTTAAACTCTTTACAGAAAGGCACTTGAATTGTCTCCAAACTGGTGCACTTTGATAAGGCCTTTACTTCCCCTCGGAAAATAGAGCTAGTTGTTGTGGAAAGGTAAACTTCAATCCAGTTGGGATGAACAGAGATAAGCTTCTGAACAGTGTTCATGTTTTCATAGGAACAGTCCTTTACATCAAGGATTTGCCAAGTTTTCCAGCATGGAGCAGCCCTTCTGAAGGTAGCTTTATGATAAAAAAGAGCAGCTCCATCCACAACTAAGTGTTTCAGTTTGGTCAAGTTCAGTATTTCTTTCCATATTCGTTTGACATCTTCATCCACATATGGAGTGTATGTGTCAGTTATCATCAACTTTTCAAGGCAATTTTTATACTTTTTGAGTAAGCAAAACAGTGCTGCTGGTGGAAGATTATCGTAAATAAAATGAAGAGCCATTACCTCACTTGGACATTTCTTGATTATTCTTTGAGCAAAGTCGGGTCCATCCCGATACTCAAGCTCAAAAGTGATAGAACTTAGTTTAGGTGCCATTTGCAAACATTTGAAGAACATTTTTTTTTGAGACTCTGACATGTGAGATTCATAGGACAAATGGACATCTTTCCAAAGATTCTCATGTGATGCAAGAAGCTGCCACCTTTTGCATACCTGTGGCAGGAGGGTTGCAATATCCTTCAGCAGTTCCAACTCTTGGAAGATGCGGACTACAAGGTGATCTGGCAGGCGATCAATGAAGCAAACCTGCTGGAACAATGGAGACGAATGAGCAATCGACAGTAAAAGCAAAACACACGATTCATAAAAACTTTCATGAGAGAGGTCAGGGCTTTACATTACACAATAATAAATGTAAATATTTCCAGGAGTACAAAAATACAAAGCGATAAACACCACACATTTAGTTGTAATAAGTATGTTTACCTTGTCCTGAACATCATCGTTCGAACATGAAGCTGAAGCGGGATCTGAAACTGTAGCTTTGCTTTCACCAAGCTTGGCAGCTTTACTTGGGACATCGCTGTGATCACTGACGTTCGAAGTGCTTCTCCGTGTTCTTTTCATTGTTTACAATTGCAGCGATCACAGAATACAGAAATAAATTTGCTTTTCGACCTGTTGCTTCTTGCCACAATACGAAATACAACGTGATGACGCGAGTTCGCATGCGTCCTCAACAAGCATTCCAGAAACAAAACAAAGAAGGAAGGCTAAAGGGCGACGCGAGGGGGTGGGGGCGGAGGGCAGGACGGGGCTGCCAACACTGTGGCCACAAATATGTTGTTATTTTACACGCTGTTTTTCTAACACCGGAAAAAAATACAAAGAGTATAAAAAAACTGTCAAATATCTAATAAAACTTTAGAACAAAGGCGATACGACAATGGAGGGGATTCGAAGGTGACAACCCGACAAATAAAGCATCGCAGAGGTTGGCTGTTCCGGAGGGAAGTCCCATCGAATGTGGGGGAGGGGGTTCATTAGGTGCTACGGCCAAAAACCGGCCCGTGAGAAATGCCGCCGCAGCCCCAAACCACAGACACAATGATCAATGTGATCAATGTGATCATTGAACAACTGCTTAACGCTTGCAAGGGCACAACTGCTCATCACTTGTAAGTGTGCAGCTCCTATGTTGCACACTTCCGTAGATTAGACGCTGCGGAGAGGCACATACTTAAAATTATGAGTGACATACTGGCAAAAATATTCTTCTTCAAGTTGCACACTTGCACAAGTGTTACGCAATATTGCACAACTTATACTCGGTTTATCAGTGTGCGACGTGTGCGACAGTAAAAATTATTTTTGCCTAAACCTCTGGCGTTTTGTAAGCACTCCACTGATACCCCACGTGGGTATCGCGGGGTGAGCTGAGAGCAAGTTCGGAGCACACACTCGGGCGATTATTGACTTTACTCATTCGCAGAAGTTCTCAGCCGCACCAGGCGCTTCAGCTTGGACGGTCAGAGTCACTTCCCTGGCCATGCTCGGGTTCGCGGGCTTGCCTCAGCTCTGTCAACCGCACCCCGACGAAACGCTGAGGTACCGCCTCTGCTGCCTGCGCAAGATCCTTGGAAGAAACATGTAGTCATGTTGTATTCAATAAAAGTGATGCTTTGGTCCAGAGAATCTGAGTATCGATTATTGTACATGCACCCCCCCCCCTCCCACACACACACTTACCTCCCACAGTGGCCGTTTGCCACCCAAAATATGGTCGGAGAACGCTTGGAGTACAAGTCGGAGAACGGCTGGAGTACGTACCCTACCCAGGTGTCCTGGAGAATACGCGGCAGCTCGATGGGTTGCCTACACACTGGCGTGCAGGCGGCCGCCTCCCGCCACCCCTCGCGGCAAGGGCCTCGCCAACCGCGCCTGCACGACAGCGCGTAGGCAACCCATCGAGCAGCCGGGCATTCTCCAGGACACCCGGTACGTAGTACGTCAAGCCTTATTGTATACAGGAGAACACGAGTTGAAGTGCGTTTCGCAACGCTATCACACGGAGAGAGAGAGAGAGAAGGGGGGGGGGGGAGAGACAGAGAGAGAGAGAAGGGGGGAGAGAGAGAGAGGGGGGGGGGGGCACTCACTCATCTAGCTGAGCCGGCAGGTCCGAGGACACCTCGCTGCTCGCCCCGTGTTCCGTCAGTCGGCGTCCCGATCCCTCCGCATCTTCACGTCATACTTCAAGACAGGTAAGGCCTTCAGCTGGGCCCTCTCTTCTCTTAGGAAGTAGTCACACGGCAGTCGGTTCAGTAACAGTGTGGAATCAGGGACAAGGACAATGTTGGAATAGATTAGCACCCGTGTGTCAGGCGTCAGGGCTACGACACCAGCGTGCGGGTTTGCCTACTCACTTCATCTAACAAGGCGCCATGGCCGCTGGGTGAAGCATCCCGAAAGGCCGTTCTTCATTCGCCGTGAACGTAGTCAGCGCACCAGCACCAGCATGCACCCCACCGACCTACCGTGGCTACAAATGTGACACGAACATGTAGCATAGGTTTCTCCTATTTCTGGTCCTTGCGTAGTTCCGTGCATGAAAGCTCCTAGAGCGCCTGGTCGGTAGGCAACATTTGTTGCCTGCAGTGCATGTGTGTAGTCCGGGCCTGCCTATCCCCAGCCTCGCAGGCGCCCGTGCTCCCCCTTACTTTGCAAAAAGAAGCTGACGATAAAACGGTCGTTCTTTCTCGACGATCCCTCACACCTTCGATTATTAACATGTTGAGTGCGGCGCCAAAAAAAGAATGATGTCCCAGGAGCCGGAGGCTTTTAGAAACTCCATACATTGGGGCCCACGGTGAGGGTCAAATGAAGTTGTAGATGGCCGTATATGATTTGTGTGTGATCATATAAAGCGATATATTTTTATATATGACAACATATCTGTCGACAGTCGACATATATGGTTGTATATGATCATATATGCGTATAAAAACACCAAAAAGTGCTTGAAAATTACCACTTTTGCTTGGAAACCAATCAGTCACTTTTAGCGTGTATATCTGTTACTTGATATGCGTGTATATATATATTAAGGGACAGCGATATGTCAATTTTTGAGATATCGATACAGGCTCGGCCAGTCTGCACAGTGTTCTACGCAAAAATCTAAGACCTGTTTACTGAAATATTATTTTTTGAGACGAGTCCATCTCTGGGCCCAACAATGGCCTTGAAAATTAGCATGGGGTTCTTATGGGAGAAAAGTCCAAAAAGTAATTTTTCTATTTTAAAGCTGCCAACTGAAATTTTTTAGGGGCAACACAACACCATTTTGGGAATGCAATGTACACGGGAAAACGAATCAAAAGACGTGCCCCACATTGTATTCCTCCCCGACAGTCCTCAGCTGGAATAAGGTGTAAAAAGGCCGAATCACCGCCAATTTTTAAATATAATCTGTATACAGTAATATATAATCATATATGTGGATATCGGTGACCCACAATGTGGGTCCGAATGCACTCAACATGTTCCTCTTTTTTTTGGCGCCGTACTCAACGTGTTAAGAGGGGCCAGTTGTAGGCCGGGCGATAGCGGCTATCTCTTTAGCTGTTCCGGGAGATAAAGAGAGTGGTATTGCAGAATTGAGCTGCAACAGTTACGGAAATAGCTATGCCATCATGGCGATGACTGGCAATAGCTGTAATTGAATTGAGGGGTAAGGGTGGGTCAGTGAAGGTGGGTGCTGGTGCTGGGTCTTACGCTCTCTTTCAGTCGTTTGTCGTCCCAGCGCCCCAAGACACGCGTGGTGTGTGGTTTGCACTCGATAACTATCCACAAAGCACGCCCGTCATTTGCCATTACGAACCCGTGAAAGTTCAGCCCTTGCAAGCTCTCTTAACGCCTGGCAGGTAGGCAACATCTTGCCTGAAGGGCATGCACGTACTGCGGGTTGGCCTACCCAAGTCTCGCAGGCGCCGAACTTCCTCGCAATCGGTGGAAGACGGCCACATTTTGTGGACGATCCCTAACATGACGCTGTGTCTCCAGAGTCCACGATGGCCATCATCCTGTACGGAGACGAGGTGAGCCCGCCCGTGCGCGCCGTCATGCTGGCCTGCAAGGCCCTCGGCATCAACTACGAGTTCAAGAAAGTCAGCGTCATGAACGGCGATCACAAAAAGCCGGAGTTCATCAAGGTAGGCAAACACCGCAAAAACGCAAATCAAAAATATAAAGTTTACAGGTTGATTACTGCTCCTAGGGAATTAGTAGGACTACATTTCTTGATAATCTTGTTTAATCATACTATTTGTATAAATTGTTCTGTAGATCAACCCACTGCACACAATCCCAACCGTCCAGGACGGTGACTTCATCATCTATGACAGGTAAGCCAGGAAAGGTATCCATTTCTCCGATTTGGTCTGTCCGTCACGCTGCAAACTAATTTTTTGCTTTCGTCCACAGTCATGCCATCGTCACTTACCTTGCCGACAAGGTAAGCAGCGACAGTTGGTATCCTAAGGACATCAAGAAGAGGGCTATTGTGACCCAGCGCCTGCACTTTGACAACAGCGTTCTCTTTACCAGGCTCAGACACCTGCTGGTGAGTACTGCAAAATGACGCAAACCAGATATTAATTTGACACTCATTTTTAGAAAACTCGGGAGAAATCCCTCATCGCTTTAGTATAATTATGGACAAGACTCGTTGGCATACTCGCGTTATCTCTTGCAGGAGCCCTTGGCCGGCGGGGCCACTGCCTACGACCCAGAAAGGACCATGAAGTTGGTTGAGGCCCTGGAGTTTCTGGCCAGGTTGATCCAGGAGGGAGGCTGGCTTACCGGAGACAAGCCCACCATCGCCGACGTCTGTGCCGCCGCCAACGTGTCCTCCATCCTGGTAAATAAGTAGCATAGAAGTGTGCAATATTTAAACATATGCTCTCCTAGTGTCCTAGTGTTCCGACGGTGGTTTCGAACCGGATAGTAAATTTAAGTCGGGTTGGAGTGGACCTAGTTTCAAACCTGTTGCTTTTTCTCTGTTCTTAGGCTGTTCTACCCCCCGCCGATGTCCCAGAAAAAGTGGCAGTGTGGTTCAAGAAGTGCGAAAAAGAACTACCAGAGTTCCAAACCACCAACAAACCAGGAAATGACGCCCTTGGTAATTTTGTACAATCCAAGCTGAAGTAAAACGGTGGCTCAAAATAAGGACTGGGAAAAAAAACTGTCGCCATCTTTTGGTATGTTGTTTCTCGAATATCAAAACGCTTAAATAGGACCCAATACAATAAAGTGATAATGCTGAGGAACAAATGTCAAAGAAAGTATGTTACACATTAGGAAGTTTTCAGATTTTATTCTTAAAAAAATACCTTTTTTAGTAATCTTAACATCATTACTTCACAGTCAGTATCATTATAACATAATTAAATATCACATATCATTTAGTGGTAAAGCAAAAACCACATATACAATGAGGGATCATTTTTGTTTTTTAAAATATGTAACAGCAACAGTATGTTTATATTATAATGAAACAGGAACATCAAATAATTGTAACAGTTCAACCTCATAAATATGTACAAAAATATGTTGAATGCGGAACTACTTTGAAGTGGAGAATGATTTACACTGCAGCAATGTCAGTGATCTTAATCATCAATAAAGACTTACATTGATAAACAGGTCCTCAATTTTGTGCTAGTTCCTTATGGAGAGAAAAAGGGCGAGGAAACAAATTGGCACATTTGCTTCGGCAGTAAAAGAGTGATGAAAATTACCCATGGCTTTACATGACAGAATGCCATGTAGTCGAGTTGGCATTGAACAGATCAGTCCCAGTGATTCACGATACTAATAAAGCTAATATACACACTGACATATCCAGAAAAGAAAATTCAAACAATTTACAAAAAGATCACAGATTCGTTTTTTTTGCACAGTATTAAAAAAAAAAAAAAAAAAACTTGGAATAGAGCCAGTTTCTCGTGGGTTCTGCTAAAGACGGTGCACCCCACTTTCCAAAGGCACAGGGTTGCGGCCACGGCGGCGGCCTCGCGGACGGGTCCGGTCAGCACGGCGACAGCCCCGCCGGCGCCTGCTCCGCGCGTCACACGGCGATGGTGAAGTCCTGGCTCGCGCCGCGCGACCCGAACACCTGCACGTGCGCGGGGAAGGGCGGCAGGTGGGGCGGCAGCGCGCGGGGCTGGTCGCCCAGGCGCAGCGTCTGCTGCAGCGACTCCAGGTCGCACTCGGCGTCGCTCATCTCCGCCGGCAGCCGCAGGTCCATGCCCACGATGCCGCCCAGGCTGAGCTCGCGGTCCCGCCGCCTGCCGCACCACAAACAGTAGCAACCATCCGTCAGACTAACTGCGTTGCGTTTAACAATCCCAAGGGAACGGCTTGCCTATGAAATTTACTTTCCCAGAAAAGAATTTTTGGCAGTATTTAAAAGGAATGTCAGAGTTTGTTTGTTTTCTTCAAATTTTTGTGTCAAAATTTCAATTTTGTTCTAATTTTTACTGAAAAGATTTCAGACTTCAAAATACCTGACCTAGGCCTGCTCACCTGTGTCTCCGCGACGGCAGCGTAAGCCGCTCAGTAGTTTGATCGACTGATGTACTTAACTTTGGGCCGCGATAGAGGAAGCCTGCGAAACAAGAGAGAAGAAACGGAGTGAGTCGCAATGTTAGACGCGCCGGTCGATAGAAAGGTGACAGTGTCTGCAGCAGCGTGGCGGCACGGGTCCCCGATAAGACCAGGCCAGGCATAAAGGCGATGGAAAAAAAATGATATAGCTTCAGCCCAAGTGCGGTGGGGGTGGTCATCCCATATGCTACGTGAATTTTAGGGGGGGGGGTGAAAATATTATGGGGTCCCAAAAGGATAAGGACTATCATTTTGGTCCAAAAGAAACGCCATGATACTTGTGACCGAGGTACGAAAATAATGGGGTCCAAAGAGATACTTTGTGACCAGGATACCCTATGGACTCTAAAACGATGGCTCTAATCCTGTTGGGACCTCACTTTAATACTTGTGAGCCCCTCCCAAAGAGTCACGTTTGTATGGGAACGACCGCCCTGAGTGGTGTTACCCGGCACTGAAACGGTACTAACTTACTGTGTTGAGGCGAGGGCCGCGACACGGCGAGCTGGTGCTGCTGGTGCTGCTGCAGCTGAGCGTGCTGCGCGAGCTGGGCGAGCTGCGCGGCGTGGCGGCTGGCGCGGCGGTGGCCGCGGGGCTGGGCGTTGCCGCTGCTCGAGCTGGACGAGCTCCGGCCGTCCTTGTCCTGCTTGCTGCCGCTACTGCCGCTCCCCCGGTGCTTGAGCGGCATCCTCAGCGAGCCCTGGCCGCCCTGGCCCGGCACTGAAAGCAACAAGGAACAGAAGATCAAGTATTTTGGGGACATTTTCCAGCATTTTTTATATATCTCTTAAACTGTTTATGAAATCGGATTTTAAAACCCCTAGGCCTTCTCCCGGGCCGACACTCACGGGCATGGTCGCTTTCCGACCCCGACTCCGTCTCGTCCGAGTCGGAGCGCTTGCCGCCGCCGCGGCTGTTGGCCCTCGACCGCGACCTGGACCGCGACCTGGCGCGGCTGCCGGGCGGCGCCGCCGCGCCCGGGTGCCGGATGTGCTGGTAGTGGTCCTCCTCCAGGCCCAGGTCCAGGGCCTCGTGGTAGCCGAGGAACGTGCCCCGGCGCTGGGGGTTGCCGCCCATGTTCTCGTGCTCGGGCAGGTGGAACGTCGCGTACGGGTAGATGTCCTCAGAGTACTCTGTCCAAGGGTCAAGGGTTGCAAGGGGTCACAAGTCTCTACGGGAGGCTCATGCTGCACACACAGCCCCTCATGACTTGGGTCGCTCGCCTACCTGGTATCCTGTCGAGGGCGTTGATGTCCCGGCCGGGTGACTGCAGGGGCTTCCGCGCCGTCGAGTAGTACTGGTCCCGGTGCTCCATGCTCATGTTCTGCTTGTTGTCCAGCGACACCATGGCGGCGGAGCGCGTCTCGAGGTCTGGGGGGCAGGGAGCAGGCCGTAAGGGACGCGAGCGGGCGGGGGACGGCGGCGGCGGCCTCGCGGCAAAAAGTACTCACTCCGGCGGAAGCAGAAGCAGGCCAGCGCCACGGCGGACACCAGCGCCAGGACCGAGATGAGGGTGGGCGCCAGCACGGCGGCGTCCAGGTAGAACGGCGTCGACGACAGGCCGGCGTCGGCCGCGGCCGAGTCCACGGCGGCGTCGCCGTCCGCGGCCAACGGGGCGGGGCCGGTGAAGTTGTAGAGGTGCACGGTGGAGCCGGCGTTGTTGTGCGCCGTCACGCGCACCGTGTAGCGCGCGCGCGGCACCAGCGGCGCGATGGACAGCCGCTGGCTCGGCAGGGCGTTGTTGGACACTGGAATCATGAAACAGCGATTCAAAATTTCTGGAAATGTATCTTTCACGAGGTTTTTCAAGATTGTTT